CGATGGAGGCGTCGTTACACTGTATAAAACGACTGCAATCGCGGGGATTGGGATATAAGCAGTCTTTGGGTCCCAAACACTTGGTGCGGGCGATCTCTCGCGGCGGACAGGGATAGCCAGGTATGATAGGCCAGTCGTACGCTAATAGACAAATATAGTGATTATTATACGGGATTTAAACTACTGTTTCACTCGAGCCGTAGGTATACTTACAGACAGCGAGGGTTTGGGCAATAAGTGCCGCAAATAACACGGTTTTTGGCAAATAATTCATAGCGTATTGAATTAGTTAGCGATTTATATTTGTAACTTTAAAACTACTATTTAGTAGACTATATGAGTGAATTACTCAGGCTAATTTTAGGTTTACTAGTCGTTGATGTGGATCATTGTGTTTTTGGGAACTCGTATTTATATGAGAAATAGTTTTTTGTGATCATATGTTATCTGATTTGATGTCAATTATCGTCTTTTGTCAGACAATCAGTCGATGATTGCATACATATTCTCACCACACGTTTCGACTTAATCCTCAAAAATTAACGTTTTTTAGTTGTCATGTCGGATGTCTATCTATTACCTGGATTATCGAAACTGGTATAACCAAGCTGACATTATTTAAAGTGAGTTTTTAATAGGTTAAAATTAGCTAATTAGTTATAATAAAAATATATACCATGATAAATTAAATGCATATTTTACAATGTATTTTTAATGAATGATTATGAATTAAAAACTAATTTTTACCTAAAAGTTATGAATAAATCAAAACTTATCAATATCATTATAATAGTCCCACTAATCAGTCAATGAATTAGTGGTTATTAATTTAATTTGATACTAAAGTCCTGTATTTCAATTATTCAGTGTAAAAACGTTAACTTTTGAACTTGTAACCAGTACATTTGATAAAGGACCTTTTCGCACTCTGTGTTACATTGGACTCTCTCTCTCTCTCTCTCTCTCTCTCCATAATTGCATTTTACGTATTATTAAAAATCTGGAGTCAATAATTGCCAATTATGATATTTGTAATTAACATTATACAACAACATGTTTACATTGAAAGGATTAATAACTAAGCTTTTACACTGAAAACAAACTAACCTATTACACTTTTTAGCGGATTCAAATCAGGATTTTTAAAAAATAAACTAGTTTAGCAAAAGTAATCAATATTTTTGTTTATAATATTTCTATAGTGAAGTGAAATAGTTAGGAATTTAATTTGTAAATAGATAGGTAGACAAATAAGTTTAATATTTTTAAATCAAATATCATATTAAATAGTAAATATTTGTAATAAGAAAAATAAAATAATTATTATGTTTGTACTACATGATTTAATTTTTAGAAAATCATTTACATTAGTATTATAATAACTTATTTGTATTAATCACCTGTATTAGTAATGCTGTATTTACTAAAATTTTATTCAATAGTATAATTAAGGTAGCTGCAATATTTGTTATAAAATAAATCAAAATCACTATTTAAAATGAAAATATTTTTAAATAAGCGAGACTCTAATGATAAAATAATGATAGTTATGCACATAATTACACCATTTATAAAATTACATCGTAAAATATTTTTATATTCATTAAATGCACATTTTGAATAAATAAATTTATTTTAAGAAATTTATTTCATGTGTACTACAATATTGATTAGCAAATATAATAATAAATTCAAATAATATTTATTATAATTCATATTTATTTTAAACCTTATATTTCTGTAATTTTAATGCGAAATAAATATTAGTATGGATAAGTAATAAAACTAACATGGTATATAATACAACCTATTAATATGCATAAAGTTTATAATAAATTGACTAAACGGCTACAATTTATTAATGATTTAATTTACATAATTGGCGAAAGGTGCTATAAGTGTATGAGTGGTTTCCAAAGCATCGTTTCTGTTCATACAAATAGTTGACTTTGACTTATAACTAATGTATTACTCAGGTATATGTATGCATAGAGTACTACCGTATGTAATTATTTGTATGAACAGAAACGATGCTTTGGAAACCACTCATACTTAGTGTGGCTTTCCTAAGTTGAATACAAATTATGGGAACAGGAGCTACCATAGAGTGCTATGGGATGTGGCCGTGTATGTGGAGTTCATTAAGACCGCACTCGCACTGTACATATCCGATGAGCACCT